CTAACACATAAGCATGGTAAAAACAGGGTATAAATAACCCCAATATATAAGCATCATGCCAGAAGGGTATACATAAACCTAACATGTAGGCATGGGAAACTAGGGTATAAATAACCCAGACAAAAGCGTAATACCAGTGGGGAATAAATAACCCGACAAAATGACAGGTAGCATGATACATGCAAAATATAAACAAGCCGCCCCAAACATATATGCCAGCTAACAATGGAGTGTACATAACACCCAAAATATCAGAATGATACAATTAAGTACAAATATACCCACAGTGTAGAGAAGATATAGGGGATAACTGAATGCCCGTAAGAATATTTATAGTAATAGAAATGCGCATAATGGGCGTAAATGACTCGAGCGTAAGAAAATCAGGACAATAAAATGCTGACCTAAATTAAAATAGAACAAATAATTATGGCTGCAGCTGTTTGATGGCAAATAGAATTGCCCCACGATAGCTTCTAAACAGCAGTTGCTCTCCACGTCGATTTAAATGAATTCCATCCACATCGAAGATGTTGAGCGAAGGACGTGCAAGCCCACAGTGTCTCCAAAATGTAGCATGCTCTTTTGTTGATATCGATAGTGTATTTTTAGCCAAGAGTTCAAACTTGATACCGCCGAGTTGTACTCGGGATAAGATTGATTCTTTCGAGGCAAAGTTTGACAAACCACAACCCAATCCACACTAAATTCAACCCGTAATCGATCGNGAATTCCATCCACATCGAAGATATTGAGCGAAGGACGTGCAAGCCCACGGTGTCTCCAAAATGTAGCATGCTCTTTTGTTGATAGTGTATTTTTTAGCCAAGAGTTCAAACTTGATACCGACGAGTTGTACTCGGGATAAGGTTAATTCTTTCGAGGCAAAGTTTGACAAACCACAGCCCAATCCACACTAAATTCAATCCGTAATCGGTAAAATAAAATAACATGATAAAGAAAAAAAAAAACATAATAAAAGAAAACAAATGGAAACAATTAATATGTTTCTTCACGGATGTTCAGACCATGAAAATGTGGAAATGAAGCCTGACAAAAAAATGCAGGCGTGAATGTAGTCCAACGATTCAGAGCGCTGCTCTATCAACAACAACAGAGGTCATGGGTTCGACCTCCTTTCAATCCTGCATTTTAATTTTTTCAAGCCTAAACACC